CAATTCGACTGCTTAGTTAAGTTTTTATTACAATCCTCTAACTTTTATTATATTTTCCAAGGTAAGATAAGAAATATACTTGTCTTGCATTTTATGCAATGATGAAGGGGGCAAAGCCACTATATCTTTCGGTATGGTTAATCTCAATTATATTGTAATAGTTATGTTTACATGTCCTTGTTGGATGTGTCGGATCAAACCATTCACACTTGAATAAGACAATCCTTTTTATGGTTTCACCAGTATATTCAAGCTCAACTATTTCATTAAGTTTCCCATACCAATCACAGTCACCATCACTTGAATTTTCTCTCACACTAATTTCATTATTATCTATTTTTCTCCTTTTATGATTTAATAGTTTGGAATTTATACCCGTTAACGTAGTAAATTAGCCAATAATATGCTTTATTGTTTGGACCTTTGGACATGTTATATAGGTCAATATTTGTGATACCATTACTGGGATTACGCACCTACACATACCATTAAATATGTCAATTGATTGAATAAGAATAATATTAAAAAATTGATAAAATAAAATGTTAGGAAAATTTCATGACGTACATAACTTTTGAACCATGATGGAAATTGATTAAGGCATTCGTGACCATATAATTGTTCAAAATATTTGTAAACATTGCAATATCATTGATTAGATTTGAATAACCATGATCGGGAAAAGTCATTAAAGCAATCATAAGTCACTTACGTTCTGAATGGTTGAACTTCATCACAATTTAATAAGGTGTGCAACTGTACGACATCTGCTTCATCACCTAAGATCCATCATTCTTCTCATTTCCCAGATACACGACCTGGTTGGTTGATTATAGATAGAGTTGGCTCATTACTGCTTTCTCCCCCATCATCATTTTGACCAACCCAAGTCCTCCTAGATTGAACATGAGGTTCGAAATAGTATGTGCAAAAATTTGATGTCTCCTTTGATATATATACCTGGCATATGGATCCTTCCACTTGAACTCTATTTTTCACAATCCTTTTGAACTCTCCGATTTCTCGTTCAAACAGATACATCTACCTGTATTGTACTGGTCCACATACACGTGCTTCATATGCTAAGTGTATAGGCAAGTGCTCCATGCAGTCAAAGAAACCAAGGGGAAGTATTCTTTCTAATTTGAACAAAATCACAGGAATATTGTTCTCCATCACTCATAGGTCTTCAACCCTAAGAGTAGGTGAAAATAGGTCCCTAAAGTACTCACTTAACTCAGTCAATGGCTTCCAAACATGGTCAGGTAGTTCCCTAAATGCAGCAGGTAGAATACACTCCATGAATATGTGACAATCATGAATTTTCATCCCAAAAAACTTCCTTGTTCAACATTCATACAACGACTGAAGTTTGAAGCATAACTGTCAGGCATTTTCAAGTCCTTCACCCACTTACACACGTCTTTGTGGTAAAGTCAGAGTGTAACTTGCCTTTGACTTTGACCATCGACCATCTGCAAGTTGTTGTAACCTCAATTCTAGATGCCTACAATATTCTTATAAATCTTGCCTTGCCTTTACATTATCTATAGTTCGATCAGTGTCCATTACAGTATTCATGATATTGTCAAATACATTTTTTTTCCACATTCATCATATCTAAACATTGGCGAACTAATTTATCCTTCTAATATGGAAACTCCCAGAATATACTTTGTTTGGTCCAATTATGTGTCATCCCATAACTAGGAAACCTAATGGATTTTCCTACTTCTATTATTTTTGCCAAGTGTCTAATTCTATCCCATACTTGATGACCATTTAAATGGACGGGAGGGTCCTCATTCTCAATAGTTACTTTTCTAAATTTGTAGGCTTAACGCCTATAAGGATGTTCCATATCTAAAAATCTCTTATGGGAATCAAACCATGAATTTTTTCCTCCATGTTTCAAAGTAAATGGCTTTGTATCCTCCATACAAATTGGCCATGCTAATTTCCCTTAAGTCATCCATCTAGGCAACATTTCATAAGTAGGAAAATCATTTATCGTCAGCATCAGTGCTGCCTTCAAATTAAAATTTTGCTTCCTTGATAGGTCATAAGTTACTACACCCTCACACCATAACTCTTTCAACTCATAAATCAAAGGTTGAAGGTGTACATCAATTTTAGCCTTTGGATTTTCTGGACCAGGAATTATACGAGTCAAGAACAACTATGGAATTTTCATGCTCATTTCAGGAGGAAGATTAAAAGGTGTAACCACAATAGGCCAACAAGAATATGATTTATTAAATTGATTGTTTGGAGTGAACCCATCATCACATAACCCTAACCTTACATTTCTAGGATCAGATGCAAACTCAAGATATACTTGATCAAAATGTTACCAAGCCTCACCATGAGATGGATGAGTCATTATCCCATCACTCCTATTATTTTCAGTATGCCACATCATGTAAGGAGCTGAACTCATAGACAAATACAACCTTTTTAGCCTAGAAATTAAAGGCAAATAATGCATTGTAGTTTGTGGTACATCTTTATGTTTACCATCTCTACCACATCTTCTTAGTTTAAACCTAGGCTCTCCACAAAATTTGTAATTTTTCAAAACATCATCTTTGTAATACAGCATGTAGCCTTTCAAACAACAATCAATTTTGAGTTCTTTTAATCTAAGTTTGGAAACCAATTTTTTTCATGGTAAAAGTCTTTCGGGATTGAGTCAGGTTGTGGACTAAGCTCACTAATTAATGTAGCCCATTGATCAAATGAACTATGACTTTGATTGCCTTTTGACTTTATGCTTAACATTCTTATTGCGAAAGATAACTCTGAATGCGCATACCCATCCCATAAAGGCTTGTTTGCTGCCTCTAAAACATTATAAAACTTTGCAGCCTTCTATTATACATTACACAAATTTTTAATATAAATTTTTGTATAATCTCCCCTAATATATGTCAGGCTTGTGATTTTCATTGACTAATTTATAATATTTTATACTTGTTCAATGTTAATTGAAGGATTATTTGGTATTGGAATAAATTTAGATGGAGTTTAGAATTATTTATTTTTTTTAAAAAAAGTGAACAATATCGTATGAACAGTGCCGAATGAAAAGTAAAACTGCCTATGAACAGTGGAAACTGCGTACAAACCGTGTATGAACAGTAAAAACCACGTATGAACAGTGACTGCTGACGTCACTTACGCGTACAGTGTGTGTATAGTATGCGTGCACAGTGTTTTCAGCATGAATAGTGCTCTGAACAGTGTTTCTGGCATGAACAGTAAGTCGGTGAACAGTGTTTCCGGCGATGAACAGTAAATTTTGAAAATTTTCTATAAAAAGGGGGCTTCACATGAAATTTTCATTTCTTCATTCCTCTCCAAGGTTCTCAAAGGTTCTAAGGCCAAATACCACCATTTTCTCTCATATTAAACCCTCCTAAACTTAGATTTCTCGTTAGATATGAGATTCTACGTCTATTCTGAGGGATTTGACGTAAGTTTCTTTAAGTTTGAAGCTAGATTTACCGTTCGTTTCTCTTCTTCTTCTCTTTCTCATAGAAGTTCATGAAGTTCTTAAGAGAAACTCTGTTCTAAAGTCAAATCTTTGGTGAAACTTGCTATAAAACAAGTAATATTCGGTAGATCTAGTGTGAATCATCGTTCTGAGGTAAAGGGAGTTTACTTTAACCTATGAACTACGTTTTGAACGGTTTAATATGCTATTTCAAGATGTTTTGATATGATTTTGTTAGATCTATTGAATAAAAGCGATTTTCTAAGCTGTAACTGCTGTTAATTGATTTAAAATGCTGAGATTTTGGCTGATCTATCTTAAACTTTCCTTAGCTGAGCTGTTAAAATAATTTTAGCGGTGTGCATCATGCTGAGATATATGTTTTGCATCATTATAGAGCCGAGTTACATGTTTAGGTGGGTAGACGTGTAACGGTAAGTTCATGCCCAGCTGTTGTACTGTGCTGTCTGGATCCAGACACAGGAATGGGTCGCTCTCGGACCGGCTCGGTTCCTTCTGGATTACTTAGGCTGTGAAACCAGTTGGAAACCGTTTTCACGCTGTGCATTAGATGGGCTGGAAATGCATGGGGTTATTGCTGTGAGAAATATTTTGCACTACATATATGATTTTATTTTATTTTTGTAAGCTCACCTTTGCATTTCTTTCCATGTCGTTGCGTGCGTGTGTACTGCGATGATCGTACAGTGGTACGTGAGCAGATGTAGCAGGTGTTGCATCTACTTCACAGGCTGAGGGACCAGTGAAGAAATGTTAGAAGCTGGAGTCGAGTAATATTGTATCAAAGTCCTTTTTTCTTATATTTTGAGACCTCATGTAGAGGGAGCTGTATAGTATAATTTTGGGTATTTTGAATATTATGAACTAAATGTAATATTATGTTATTCTGTTGGATATTTATTGTAAGAAAACTTTGTTTTATTTTGAAGGAGAAGAGAATTTCATACTTATATTCTCTATTATTTATTTATCCTAAATAAGTATGTGATGTACAAACAATGTTCTCGGTTCCTTACAAAAAGGGGTCGTGACATTTTAGTGGTATCAGAGCATGGTCTAGGAAAACCTACGGGGTGAGGTTGTTAGGCGTCAGTTGTGCATATTAGACATGTGAATTTTAGCTGTGAATCATATATCATAATTTCTAATCATCAGGTTGTGAGGGAACGAGCTTGATCACCTCGGTTCTCAGACACGACAGATGTAGAAAATTTTGGTATATGATACTGGGGTGAGCTATAGGCAATTCATGCTGCGTGAATAATAGGTTGTTAAGCTAAGCTGTAAATGATTGCTGAGATAAGTGTGTTTGCTATGCTGTGTGAATGCCAATATGATGTTATCCTCAGTGCTAAACTGATTAAATTGTTATGATATACTAAATATGAATATATCACTGTAAGCTGAATCTGTGAATATAGCTATGTGGTGGTATTGTTGAATGTGTTAAACGTTAGTAATCTAAGCTAGTCTATATATTAGGATGGCTAGACCAAGAAGATCTGCTACAAACCCTCCTCCTGCTGATGTGAACCAAATGGCTCACGCCATGGAGGACATGGCAGCCACTGTTAGGCAGAGTCTAGATATGATTCAGCAGCAGCAAGCTGCAAATCAAGCCGCTGCTGCAGCACAGGCAGCAGCAGCTACTGCCTCAGCTGCACCTCCTCCTGAATACCATGGGTTGTCAGAGTTCAGGAAGAACGATCCTCCTCAATTCACGGGGGTAGATGGACTAGATGCTGCTGAACTCTGGATCAGGGAGATTGAGAAGATTTTCTTAACTATGGGTTGCACCGAGGAGAGGAAGGTGTTATATGCTACTTATATGCTGACAGGGGATGCAGAGATGTGGTGGCACGGAGCTTGTGCTATGCTGGAGGCCCGAGGTGAAGTCATCACTTGGGCTGTATTTAGAAGTAGTTTTCTGGGAAAGTTTTTCCCTTCCCATGTTCGTGCTGCCAAAGAGCGGGAGTTTCTAAACTTAGTGCAGGAAAACTCATCAATCTATGAGTATGCAATACAGTTTGAGCAGCTTTACAGATTTTATTCTCACCCGACCTCAGAGGAGTGGAGATGTCAGAGGTTTTCAAACGGGCTGAGAACTGACATAAAGAGGATTTTGATTCCACTCAGGATCACTAAATTTACTGACTTGGTGGATCAAGCCACCATTATAGAGAGTCTTAATGCAGAGGATGTTGGTGGAGTTGGGAAGGCTCCATCTAGTAGAGCTGCTAGTAGCTATCGTAATGGAAGTAAGGGTGTTAAGAAGGGCCCCCACAGTCGGTCGCTACGCCAATAACAGTTTCAACCATCTCAGTCGAAAGGGTCGGCAGCGATAGTGGCAGGTACTTCTCTTTCTGTATTGTTTGATTCTGGAGCCACGCACTCTTTTATTGCAGACATTTGTGTGAGAAACTTAGGGTTACCTTGAGCGATCTAAGATGTGAATTGGTAGTATCGACACCTACTTTAAGTTCGATTAAGACTTCAATGGTTTGTGTTAGGTGTCCCATAGTAATTGAGGGACAAAAGTACAAAGTAAATCTTATTTGTATCTCGATGTCAGGGTTAGATGTAATCGTGGGTATGGATTGGCTAATTGCCAATCGTGTGCTAATTGATTGTGGCCGGAGGTATTTAATCTTTCCTGAACAGCAAGGCTGTGTGGAATTAATTTCTACTCGCCAAGTAGAAACATCCTTAGGTGAGGGAGTATCTTGTTTTGTTTTGTTGGGAGTTATGAATGCAGAAGTGGAGCATAGCCTTCAGTCAATACCAGTAGTACGAGAATTCCCTGAGATTTTTCTAGAGGATATTCCTGGAATACCTCCACGTAGAGAGGTGGAGTTTGCTATAGATTTGATTCCTGGAGCTGAGCCAGTGTCTGTAGCACCTTATAGAATGGCGCCGAAGGAGTTGATGGAGCTTAAGGAGCAGATCGAGGATCTAATGCAGAAACAGATGATTAGGCCGAGTGTATCACCTTGGGAAGCACCAGAGTTCTCTTAGTGAAAAAGAGGGACGGGAGTTCTATATTATGTGTTGATTATCGCAAGTTGAATAAGTTGACAATTAAGAATAAGTACCCGTTGCCACGAATCGATGATTTGATGGACCAGCTGAGAGGTGCTAAGGTATTCTCTAAGATTGATTTGAAGTCTAGGTACCATCAGATCCGAGTGAAGGATGAAGATATTCCTAAGACTGCTTTCCACACTAGATATAGCCACTATGAGTATATAGTGATGCCTTTTGGAGTCACAAATGCTCCAGCTGTGTTTATGGACTACATGAATCGGATCTTTAAACCTTTCCTGGATCGATTTGTGGTAGTCTTTATTGATGATATTTTGATTTATTCTAGTTCGTCAGAGGAACATGCAGAGCATTTGAGGACTGTACTTAGTGTTTTAAGGGAGAAACAATTGTATGCTAAATTGTCTAAGTGTGAGTTTTGGCTAGAGGAAGTGAAATTCCTTGGTCATGTTATTTTCGCTAAGGGAATTATAGTTGATCCTTCCAAAGTTGAAGCGGTGTTGCAGTGGGAAAGGCCTAAGACAGCCAGAGAGATTCGTAGTTTTGTGGGCCTAGCAGGTTACTACCGGAGATTTATAGAGGGATTTGCGAAGATAGCTGCACTATTAACACGGTTAACTCGCCGTGATCAACCCTTTGTATGGACTAAGGAATGTGAGCAAAGTTTTAATGAGTTGAAGCAGAGACTAACTTCTTCGCCGGTGTTGATTCTCCCTGATACTAGTGGACAGTTTGAGGTGTACTGTGATGCTTCCCATCAGGGATTTGGATGTGTGTTGATGCAAGATAAGAGAGTGGTAGCTTATGCATCTCGCTAATTGCGAACTCATGAGTGAAATTACCCGATTCATGATCTTGAGTTAGCTGCTGTGGTCTTTGCTTTGAAGGTGTGGCGGCACTATCTTTATGGAGCTCAGTTTGATGTGTATAGTGATCACAAGAGTCTGAAGTATTTATTTGATCAGCGAGAGTTAAATATGAGGCAAAGACGTTGGGTGGAATTCATTAAAGATTATGATTTTCAGCTCCAATACCATCCAGGAAAAGCTAACGTGGTGGCTGATGCATTAAGTAGGAATGTGGTTCAGGCATTCTCCTTAAGAGTTAGTGAAACTCTTTTGGTAGAACAATTCTGAGACCTGAAGATACATGTGGACTTATCACCTGAAAAGATTAGTTGCAGCCGAATTGTGGTGACTAATAATTTCTTACAGGAAATTAAAGACAAACAACTGTGGGATCCGATGTTATGTCGGATTGTATTTCTCTTAGGGACAGATAAAGCAAAGGGTTTTAGTGAAGGTGCTAATGGTATTCTCAAATGCCAAGGTCGAGTTTGTGTCCCTAGAGATACTGAATTAAAGAGAGCAATTCTAGAAGAAGGACATAAGGGTAGTCTCAACATTCATCCTGGTGTTACCAAGATGTATCAAGATTTAAAGCAGATGTTTTGGTGGCCAGGCATGAAGCGAGAGATAGCTGAATTTGTTAAAGCTTGTTTGACTTGCCAGAAGGCAAAGGCGGAGTACCAGAGCCCTCCAGGAGAGTTGCAGACGATGGAAATTCCAGAGTGGAAGTGGGACCATGTGACTATGGACTTTGTGTCTCATCTACCTAGAACAGTTAAAAATCACGATGCCGTGTGGGTCATAGTTGATAGGCTAACCAAGAGTGCGCATTTCTTGCCAATTAACATGACCTTTAGCTTGGAGAAATTAGCAGAATTGTACATTAGAGAGATTGTCAGGTTACACGGAGTACCTTCTAGTATTATCTCTGATAGGGATCCTCGATTACTTCCCAGTTTTGGCAGAGTTTCCAAGAAGCTATGGGCACACAGTTGAGGTTGAGTTCTACATATCATCCGCAGACAGATGGTCAATCTGAGCGTACTATTCAGACCTTAGAGGACTTATTGCGGACTTGTATTGTAGAGCATAGGAGTAATTGGGAGGATATGCTTCCTTTGGTAGAATTCACTTATAATAATAGCTACCATTCGAGTATAGATGTGGCACCATTTGAGGCTCTGTATGGTAGAAGGTGTAGAACCCCTATCTGTTGGTTCCAAGATGGAGTACATTTGATGGTTGGGCCTGAAATGCTGCAAGAAACTAAGGAGAAAGTTGAACTTATTAGAGAAAAGCTGAGAGCCACCCAGAGTCGATAGAAATCTTATGCTGACCGACGCAGAAGATCTCTAGAATTTGAAGTTGGTGATCACGTATTCTTGAGAGTATCATGCACTACAGGTGTGCCCTAAAAGCCAAGAAGTTAACACCTAAGTTCATAGGACCGTATCAGATATTACATTGTAGAGGACCAGTAGCCTATGAATTAGCGTTACCACCTCAGTTGTTAGGACTACATAATGTTTTCCATGTATCGCAGCTAAGAAAGTATGTTTCTGATTCATCTCATGTAATTGAGCCTGATGTTGTGGAGTTACGAGATGATTTGTCTGTGGAGGTCCCAGCTGCTCGTATCGAGGATACTAGAGTTAAGGAACTTAGAGGCAAGACTATTCGGTTAGTAAAGGTTGTTTGGGACCCAGTAACTGGTGATGCCACAGGGGAGTTAGAGGAAAGAATGAAAGAGTTGTACCCTCATCTTTTCTCTGAGCGATGAAATTTTCGAGGACAAAAATTTATTTTCGGGGGGAGAATTGCCAGACTTGTGATTTATCATTGACTAATTTATAATATTTTATATTTGTTCAATGTTAATTGAAGGATTATTTGGTATTAGAATAAATTTAGATGGAGTTTAGAATTATGTTTTTTTTTTTTAAAAAACAAGTGAACAGTATCATATGAACACTGTCGAATGAACAGTAAAACTGCCTATGAACAGTGCAAATCGCGTACAAACCGTGTATGAACAGTAAAAACCGCGTATGAACAGTGACTGCTGACGTCATTAGTGACATCATCCTGACGTCATGGCTGACGTCACATATGCATACAGTGCGTGTACAGTACGCGTGCATAGTGTTTTCAGCATGAATAGTACTCTGAACAGTGTTTCCGGCATGAACAGTAAGGCGGTGAACAGTAAATTTTGAAATTTTTCTATAAAAAGGGGGTTTCACACGAAATTTTCATTTCTTCATTCCTTTCCAAGGTTCTCAAAAGGTTCTAAGTCCAAATACCACCATTTTCTCTCATATTAAACCCTCCTAAACTTAGATTTCTCGTCAGATATGAGATTCTACGTCTATTCTGAGAGATTTGAAGTAAGTTTCTTTAAGTTTGAAGCTAAATTTACTGTTCGTTTCTCTTCTTCTTCTCTTTCTCATATAAGTTCATGAAGTTCTTAGGAGAAACTCCGTTCTAAAGCTAAATCTTCGGTGAAACTTGCTATAAAATAAGTAATATTCGGTAGATCTAGTGTGAATCATCGTTCTGAGGTAAGGAGAGTTTGCTTTAACCTATGAACTACGTTTTGAACGGTTTAATATGCTATTTCAAGATGTTTTGATATGATTTTGTTAGATCTATTGAATTAAAGCTATTTTCTAAGCTGTAACTGCTGTTAATTGATTTAAAATGCTGAGATTTTGGCTGATCTATCTTAAACTTGTCTTAGCTGAGCTGTTAAAATAATTTTAGCGGTGTGCATCATGCTGAGATATATGTTTTGCATCATTATAGAGCCGAGTTACATGTTTAGGTGGGTAGACGTGTAACAGTAAGTTCATGCTGAGCTGCTGTGCTGTCTGGATCCAGATACCAGAATGGGTCGCTCCCGGACCGGCTCAGTTCCTTCTGGATTACTTAGCTGTGAAACCAGTTGGAAACCGTTTTCATGTTGTGCATTAGATGGGCGGGAAATGCATGGGGTTATTGCTGTGAGAAATATTTTGCTCTACATATATGATTTTATTTTATTTTTGTAAGCTCACCTTTGCATTTCTTTCTATGTCGTTGTGTGTGTGTGTACTGCGATGATCGTACGGTGGTACGTGAGCAGATGTAGCAAGTGTTGCATATACTTCACAGGCTGAGGAACCAGTGAAGAAATGTTAGAAGCTGGAGTCGAGTAATATTGTATCAAAGTCCTTTTTCCTTATATTTTGAGACCTCATGTAGAGGGAGCTGTATGGTATAATTTTGGGTATTTTGAATATTATGAACTAAATGTAATATTATGTTATTCTGTTGGATATTTGTTGTAAGAAAACTTTGTTTTATTTTGAAGGAGAAGAGAATTTCATACTTATATTCTCTATTATTTATTTATCTTAAATAAGTATGTGATATA